ACTAACTAACTAACTAACTAACTAACTAACTAACTAACTAACTAACTAACTAACTAACTCCTTAATAAAAGGAAAAAGATGAAATTTTGGTCCACGTTAATGTTGATTGCTGTTATTTATTTAGCATTTAGTCAGGTCAGGCATTGTGTAGGCTTTTGTTTATACTACGTCACATAATCTGAGCTGTCATGATGAGGTTTATGAGGTAAGCACTATTATCACAACTTTACGAGAGAGGAAGTGCTGGTCAGAGATCACATTCTGTCTCAGTTATCCAGCAGGTGAGTGGCAGAGGCAGAGTTTGAGGCGAGGGAGGCAGCACACCTTGTTTTTGAGATAGGTTTCACTTCCTGAAGCCAGGGCTCAGCCTTCAGCAGGCACAGGGGTCCTCCTCTCTCCCAGGTCCTGAGCAGTACATACTGTTTTCACATGGGTATGAGCTAGCAGGCTCCAGGAATCTTCCTCTACTGTGTCATGTGCTCTGCCCTCCCCCATGTGCTAGGGTTATGTACATGCATGACCACACCCTCCTGCTTGATTTTGAGAGACTCCAGGAGAGGCAGGCAGATAGCTGTGAGTTCAAGCAGCCTGGCTGGTCTGTATATTGAATTCCCTGCCAGCCAGGACTATGTAAAACAAGACAAAACGGAGGAGGGAGGTGCTGAGTTCCAATGCTGCTGGAAAGTATGGGCTAAAGCGATCCTCCTACCTCAGCAACAGGAAGGGAGTGTTCTTTCTTTTCTTTTTCTGTGCTGTTGGTAATTGAAGCCCTCACCACCAGAGCAGGCACTTCTAGCTCAGCAGGATGTGGAGCCCAGAATATCTGGAAAGGTGCTCTAGAGGGTCCAGGGTGTTGTTCAGTGGCAAACTGCCCTGTGTTTCTCGTTTACGGCCCTGGGTGCTTTCCCTAGCGGGTGTGTGTTGTAGCGGATAGTCTGTACAGACGGTGGTACCAGTCTGACAAGAGTGCTCCCTGTGCAATCAACCACCCAAGGCTTGGCAACTACTCCTCTTCACCTCCCTTTGGCTCAAAACCCCCATGTCCTGCCGGGCACTGGCAGTCTCAGAAATACTTCTCACACCTCCCCCACTCCACCCCCGCTTCCTCTTCTCTCTGCTTTCCTGTGGGACCCTGCGGGCCTCTCCTCAAACCGTGGCTGATGCACTTCTCTGCCCTGTTGGCTGGCCTCAACTGGACTTTTCTCCTCCGCCTCTTCCTCCTCCTTTTCCTTCTCTTCTTCACTTTATTTATTATGTATGCATTATTCTGCCTGCATGTATGCCTGCACCCCAGAAGAGGGCACCAGATCTCATTATAGGTGGTGGTGAGCCGTTGTTGGGAATTGAACTCAGGACCTTTGGAAGAGCAGCCAGTGCTCTTAACCTTTGAGCCATGTCTCCAACCCCTGGGCTTCTCCCTTCCATTTGCTCCTGTTTGTCGGCAATGGATCAAAGAGAATCTGAAGCTCTCCCTACGTGTACATGTGTGCGTGTGCGTGAACATGCGTGTTACCCTGCTCCATTACTCTCTGCTATATTCCTTTGAGACTAGGTTTCTCACCAAACCTGGAGCCAGAATGGCAGCCTGTAAGACCTAATTATCCTGTCTCGTTCTCTCAGAGCCGGGTGGTCAGGGTGTACAGCCGTGACTGGCTTTTTCCATGGGTGCTTGGTGTCTGAACTCAAGAGCTTATGAAGAGACAGCAAACACTCTGACCCACTGAGCCCACACATTCACAGCTCCCACCTCGAGATGATCTTATCTAGCCCAAGCCAAAGACAGCCTTGAACTTCTCTGATTCTTTTGCCTCTGCCTCTGGAATTACATGTGTGGTCACACCTAGCACTTTTGTTTTGAGCCAGATCTCACTATATAGCCCAGGCTGGCCTGGGACTATATCTGTCTGTGATGCATGCCGCTGTTATCACTTCCTGTATACTAGTTTCCACCCCTGACTTTCCCGGACCTCACCCAGCATCTCCACCTTCTGCCCTTTCCCTGTCAATAGGGGGCTGTGTCCCTGTCTCTGCCAGAATGGCTCAGCTCCATCCCAACACCTGCCCTTGTAATTTTGGTTACAATCTGACCCTTGTAATGTACTCACTCCATGGGTGGCTAGTGTGTAACTCTACTCTTTCTGATGGCATCGATGTGTTTCTTTTCCTCAGCTGGAGAGAGAGCTTCCTGAAAACACGTACAGTTCATTCAGAAAATATCTGTCATATGTCTTCCAGCTGCCAGGCCCTTGGCTGAGTTACAAGTGGCACAGGGCAGCATGGCCCTTGCCCTCTGTTTGCTCAGCTCTTCCCTAACACTGTATCTTTTATATTGCCGGGAGAGACCTGTGCATGTCTTAAGGTCCTTTCACCTCTGCTTGAGGAGGGACCAAAGTGGGCAGGGATTTGATGGCTGTATTCCCTGGAGCCCAGCTTGGCTCCCACCAGGCAATAGGCCTGGCTTTGCTGTGAAGGGAAAAGGCTCCAGACTGCAGCTAGAGGCACAGCCAGCTGTCCATAGATGTGACCCTGCATTACCTCTTGTACTGGAATAAGATAACAACAGCTGTAGCATCCAGAACAGGAGAGCAGAGCTGGTGGAAGAGTGCTTACCTAAGCACGAATGAAGCCCTGGGCTTTGGTCGCTACCACCACATAAACTGGGCATGGTAGAGCACACCTGTAACACTGCGAAATGAGGTTAATGAGGTCAGAAGTACAAGGTCATTTTGGGCTGTATAGTATGTCAGAGGCCAACCAGGGCTATACAAGACCCTGTTCAAGAGAAAAAGAGAGAGAGAGAGAGAGAGAGAGAAGAAAAGGTAAAGGAGGAGGGTGCTGGGTGCATGGTTCATGTCACTGAAGCATGAACACTGAGGTCGCTTGTCCAGCCCCCATGTGAAAAGCTGGGCATCGCTGCACATGCCTGTAACCTTAGTGCCTGGGGCATGGGCAAAGAGACAGGAGAATTGGTGGGGCTTTCTGGCCACTCTTCCAGGTTCCGTGAGAGATCAACTCTCAAGGGAGTAAGATGGCGACAGAGCAGGGCACCTGGCATCCTCCTCTGGCCTTTGGCAGGTGGACTAGTGCATGTATGTGTACACCACACCTCACACACACACACACAGATGCCGGTGAGGTGACTCAGCAGGCTTCCACACAAGCCTGCCGACCTGAGTTCAGTCCCCAGAATCCATTGTAAAAGTGGAAGGAAAGAACTGACTCTTCTAACCTTCACATCTGTGACCCCCTACAATAGTAAAGGACAAAAATATCCCCAGCATCCCACCAACCCCGAGGAGTGATTCTCATTTTGAAATCTTTGTCCACTCCTAAGCCTGTGCTTTGGAGTGCTGGGATGTGGGGAAGATCAAACAATGGAGCCTTGTCCAACGATACAGGATGACAAGTGAGTCAGGAATGGGAGGACACATGCGTTCCCTGTTCTCTGCTGCCCTGTGTCCCAGCATCCGAGCACCTTCTGCCTCCTTGGTTTGCCTGCCCTACACTTAAAACAGGCTGTTTTTCAAGCTCTTGGGTAAATATTGACCTGTTTGGGTTTCAGATGCCTGTCCCTCGAAACTCCAGCTGGCCTAGACAAGCAAACCAGGAGAGCTTCTCTTGAGACTGAGAGTCCCATTTGGGTAGGAAGGCAAGCAACTGGCCCTTTACTGGGTCCTTGCAGCGATCAACATTGTGCTGGCCTCCCAGGCTCATGGGGATGGTGCTGACCCACCCCCGGAGCTTGTGATCTAGAGGCAGAGAGAGGACTCATACACTGAGAATGCTCTGAGACTGTGTGCAAGGCAGCTGCCTGTGATCCTGTGTGAGGAGTCCTGCCTGAGTAGGAGGTAATCCTCTGTGACTACCAAGTCTCTTCCAACAAAAATGCTCTGGTTTTAAGTGGAATTCTGTCAAGTGCCAAAATGTCTGCTGTAAACAATGGGAGATATGGGCTGGCAGGAAAGGGAGGGTGGTGGTGACTCTCTCTGTGAGAAGGAGATAGAATAGGGATGGGCTGGGAAGGCCTAGGCTGAAGGAAGGGAGTTGCTGTGGTTTGTTAATCCTCTGGCATTCATCTTCCTGAATAGACCTGACCTGCTCATGGTTTCAACACAGGGCATCCAGAGACAGCAGGGCCTTTGCCCACACCCCCTTTTCCTCTACCCATCTCCCTCTCTTTCCCTTTCACTTCCCCTGGACTGAAACTCATGTCCTTCTCCTCCCAGTCTGCCGAAACAAACTGTCTTTCTTGGTTAGGTGAAGCCATGCAGCCCAGGTTTAGAAGCCAAAAATTGCCACTTGGATCCCATCAAAGACTTTGGATCCCAGGGAAGCCTTGGCTGACTGGCAGGCTAGAAGCCAAAGGCCAGAGGGTCTGAGGTTCCCAGGAGGAGAGGAATTAGGTGGTCACTGAGGTGGAGAGCAGGTTAGCTCAGAGGCAGAACTGGCCTGACAGGTCAGAGGTCCAAAGAGAGGGGTAAGCTGCTCCCTTTTCAAGGATTTCTAGGCAGAGTCACTGATGTGATCTGGTCTCCAGTCAGCTCGCTGGCCCTCTGGAATGGACTGTTTTCCTGCCTGGCTGCATGGTCTTTGCTAATTCCTGGGGCCAGTGGGAAGCCACAGGGCAGGTGAACATTGGATAGATGCCATCTTGGAGCAGGTGAGCAAAGTGTCTGTTTTGTGAGAAGGTGGGGACCTGGCAAGCTCCCCATTTGGGGTAACATAAAAGAAGCTGAGATGCTGAAACTCAGGGCAGATGGATAAGGGTAGGAACTTATGAGCCTGGAGCCCTTTAACCTGGATATCTCATGCCTCTACACACAAACGACGCTATTACTCATCCTCAAGACATTGTAAGGGATGGGGGAGTTTAGGTCTTTTTGTGGCAGAGGAAGGCTGGGGTGAGGAACTCTTGTAGTCTTGACCTTGGGCTTGGTGCTCAGGCAGGGAAAGAATTGGAGCGATGTCAGCGACAGGTGGACCAAGTGACGGAAATCATGCTCAACAATTTCGACAAGGCCCTGGAGCGTGAAGGCAAGCTGGCAGAGCTGCAGGAGCGCTCCGACCAGCTCCTGGACATGGTGTGTGGTCACTGGGAGTGGGGGAGGGACAGGGATGGGGAGGTGAGGCCCTAGATGGGGTCCATGGCTTACTTGCTTACCAGTGTGGGACTTCTGGTTTCCTACAAGTAGGTTTCACAAAAGATACCCTTGGGTTGGGGCTAAGGCTTGGCTGGTAGAGTGCTTACTTAGTATACACAGCCAGGCTCACTCCCCACCATGGCATGAAACACAAGTGCTGGCACACCTGTGATCCCAGCACTCAGAAGGATCAGAAGCTCATTCTCAGCTACACAGGAAGTCCAAGACTTGAGCTATATGAGACCCTACCTTACAAACAAAAATAAACAAATACATAGACCAAAAGAAGTCTTTGGAACTGGGCACATTCCAAGAGGTCATGGGCTGGTATTGCTAAGTGGGTGTGAGGTGGCAGGGTAGAGGGTCAAGTGTCACAGCAGTGACTGAGATCAGGAGCCAGGCTGCAAGGGTGGCAGAGCACAGTGACTGGGGAGGCAGCAGGCAGGATGCAAAGGATGCAGGAGGTCGTTCTTGCTAGCATGGGGATGGAGAGCTGGCTTTGAAGCCCTGTGGGAACCATTAACTCTGTGTATGTGTGTCCCTGGCTATCCAGAGTTCGGCCTTCAGCAGGACAAGCAGGGCTCTAGCCCAGAAGAAGCGCTGTGAGAATATCCGGTGCCGGATCTACCTGGGGCTAGCAGTGGCTGGCGGCCTGCTCATCATCCTGATTGTGCTGCTGGTCGTCTTCCTTCCGAGTGACGGGGACAGTAGTAATCCATAGGATGCAAGCACTGCCTGAAGGACTGGGGACTGACCCAGCCTGGCCTGGAGCAGAGGATGAATGGCTCCTCTGCCCTGTTCTGGACTCCAGAGAATCCTGCTGTTTGCTTTCAGCTAGGCCACCCCAGTGAGTGCCGAAGGACATCCTGGAAATGTTCACCTCTGCTCTCCCATCACGCCATAGACTGGCCCTTCAGGGCAGCCTGCTGCACTGGCCCTGCGAGGCCACAGCACTTGAACTCAGTAAAAGCTGCTGTTTGGTTAAAAGCTCTCGCTCTCTCTCCCTCTCTCTCTCTGTCCCTCCTGCCTTCCCTTCCTGGCCTGCCTCTTGCACACACATATACCACACAGGCAGATGTACACGTACAAACACAACCCAAACCCAGAAACATCACATACACAGAGACACCAGACACAGGAACACTCTATAGGCATACACGTACACACACACACCACAGATACACATACACACACCCTGCAGATACAGAAACACACACTACATACCACACACACATACGTAAATGTATTTTTTTAAAGGCAAGAAAACTTGTCGCCCAAAGACTGTATTCCAGGAGATGGCCTCTTCCCTTCCTTTTCCCACCTGATCCTGTCCTACACAGACAGACCTTACGGAATGTGGAACAAGGACATAGCAGCACACAAACCAGACCTTTGTGCCTACTCCCATGAAAATGAAATCTATTATTTTGATATTTTGAGGGTTCTCAGAGGAATAATGGGATTCTGGATGGAAGGATAAGGAGGAAAGGGCTTGCTGGGAGCATAACTCAGTTAACAGAGTGCTTGCCTCATATGAATTTAGTTCTGGGTTTGATGGTGGCACATGTGTCTGAAATTCCAGCACTCAGGAGGTAAAGGAAGATGATTATAAGTTCAAGACCATCTTTGACCATCTTTGAGTTAGTTTGAATCCAATCTGGGCTATGGGAGACCATGTCTTAAAAAAAAAAAAAAAAGATGAAGAGGATGGTTCAGAGATGCTCTTCTAGAGGACCCAGGTTCAATTCCCAGCACCCACATGGCAACTCACAGCTGTCTTTCACTCCAGTTCTAGAGGATCTGACACCCTTTTGAGGACACACATGAAGGTAAAGCACCAAAGAACATAAAAAAAAAAGCATACTGTTGCTAAGGATCCAAGGTTGCAAGCTCAGTTCCCATCTCTTAAGTCAGGCATTTCATAGCTTCCTGTTACGTCCTTTCAGGGAGGTCATACTCTAGAGGCACTTGCACTTAAGTACACACACACACACACACACACACACACACACACACAATTTATAAAATAAAACATTTAAGAAAAACAAGAAACATGCCAGAGAGATTACCCCATAAAGTGTTTGCCTTGCAAACACAAGAACCTGAGTTACACCCCTAAAACCCATTTAAAAAGTCATGGGCGTAGTCCAATGTGGCAGCATGAACCTTCCAAACACTGGGAAAGTAAGGACAGGCAAATCTCTGTCAGACTGAGGCTAGCCTGGTCTACATAGTAAGACACTTTCTCAAAAACACAGAAACAAACAAACAAAAAACCAATATGGTGTTCTTCTTTTACTTCCAGAATTGGGAAGGTAGAGACAGCCAGATGCCTGGGGATCACTAGCCACCAGCCTAGCCCAATTGGTGAGCTCTAGGCCAATAAGAGATGCTGTCTTGAAAAAAAACCCAAAAAAAACCAAAAAACAAAAAACAAAACAAAAAAAAAAACAAGTGAGCTGGTGAATAAACACTGTGGAGTTGGGTATGGACTGGTGTGCTTGAATCCCAGCACGTGGGAGGCAGAAGCAGGTGGATGTCTGTGAGTTAGAGGCTACACAGTGAGACAGGGTTTCAAGAAAAGGACAAAAAGAGGGGAGGGATGGAGAAAAGAAGAGAAACAAGACAGATAGTTTCTGTTTGAACAACTGAGGTTGAGCTCTGGCCTCCACACGTAGATGCACACACATACATGAACACAAATGCACACATTACATAAAACAAACGACAAGGAAAGGGCTTCTAAATTGTTCTCATGAGCTCTTTACCTGAAGACAGACCACCCCCAACATTTCCCCATTCCTAATTTCTCAGTCTGTGTCTTGTTCTCATTTGAGCTTTACATACCACCGCATTACACACAAAACCTTTAATGCTGTATACAGGGTCAAAAAGGAGGCTTCTCTTTAGGAAAGAATTAAGGCATTCCAATGTTCCAGGATATACAGGACCACAAAACCAGTGCCTTCAAGAAACATAGAAAGGGTCATCCATTAGGGACTGGCAGGTAAAGATGCCTGCTGCCGACTGTTAATGGTTAGGATCTTCTTGTGAGTGTTGTCAGTTTGACACAAGCTAGAGTCATCTGAGAAGACAGGAACGCAGAACTTCAGTTGAGAAGATGCTTCAGTCAGATAGTCTTGTAGGCAATCCGCGGAACATTTTCTTGATTAATGATTGATGTGAAAAATCCCCATCCACTATGGATGGTGCCACTCTGGACAGGTGGTCCTAGATTACATAATAAGCAAGCTCAGTAAGCCGTGGGATGCAAGCCAGTTAGTAGCTTTCTTCTACAGTGTCCTCCCACAGGTTCCTGCACCGACGTCCCTCAGTGATGAACTGTGACTTGGAAGCTATAAGATGAAATCATCCCTTTCCTCCCTCAAGTTGCCTTGGCTGTAGTGTTTGTCACAGCAACAGATACCTAAATAAGACACCAAACCTGATGGCCTGAGTTTGATTCCTGGGACCCACATGATGAAAAGAGAGAAGGCACAGCAACTCCCAAAGTTGTCCCCTGACCTCCATATGAATGTTGTGACATATTCATGAACACACACACACACACAAATGTTTTCTTAAACAACAACAACAACAACAAAAAACAATGGAAAAGCACTTTGCTTAAAAAACAAAACAATCATTCACTGGGCAAAGAAAGGCATGATACCACACTTGGGAGGCAGAGGCAGGCTGATCTCTGTGAGTTCAAGGCAGCCTGGTCTACAAAGTGAGAACAAGCAATACTACACAGAGAAACCCTGTCTTAAAAAACAACAAACAAACAAAAAACAGGGGAAAAAAGGGTGGGGCTGCAGAGATGCCTTAGAGGTTAAGAACACTGGCTACTCTTCCAAAGGTCCTGAGTTCAATTCCCAGCAACCACATGGTGGCTCATAACCATCTAAAATGAGATCTGGTGCCCTCTTCTGGCCTGTAGGCACATATACAGGCAGAATACAGTTTAAAAAATAAATCTAAAAATAAACAAACAAAAAAACTTAGCTGGTACAATGTGCAGGTTTATAATCCCAGCACTTAAGGAGGCAGAGGCAGGCAGATCCCGGTGAGTTCAAGGCCAGCCTGGTCTACAAAGCAAGTTCAGGATAGCCAAGGTGACATAAAGAAACCCTGTCTCAAAAACAAACAAACAAAAGGCCCAGGAAGACCTTCTGTTCGGATTACTTTTTTTTTTTCCTTTTTTCTTTTTTATTGTTGAGACAGAATTTCACTACATAGCTCTGTCTGTCCTGAAGCTCACTTTGCAGACCAGGCTGGCTTTGAAATCAGACATCCACCTGCATCTGCCTCCTGAGTGCTAGGATTAAAAGCATGTGCCACTATACCAGGCTTGTTTGGGTAACCTAACTGTGGTTCGAACTCAAGGGTGAATAACCCAATGTCAAGTGTATAAAATAAGCAGTTCTTGCTGGGTGAGGGAGGGCTACCAAGAAAAGCAAGAAAAAAGATCCAAGAATTGAACAGAGCTTAACCTCTTACAAGGTGAAAAATGTCCCCCAGTCTTTAAGAAAATAAAATACTGTAAAAAGTTCAGTCTCTTTAAAATATCCAAAGTCTTTCAACTGTGGCCTCCTGTAAAATCAAAATAAGTTACATGCATTCTTATTCATTCTTAGTTACAAAAGTTAATACTTAGAGGGAAGAGCCAGCACATGGTGACAATCAAATAAAAACCCCGAACTCCACAGTGTCAAGTTCAATGCTTGGTGTCTGGGACACACCCACAATCCTCTGGGCTCAAAGGGCCTGTGACACTTGGGCTCTGCAATCCACAGCACTCACAGCTTTCCCTCCAGGCTCAGGCTGACTCCATTTCACAGATGCTGTCCTGAGCATCATTCCACAGTCCCAGCGCCTCCAATATTACAGGATTTCCACAGGCCGCACCTTCACCAATGACCTCTCGGCCTGTCTTCAGCAACTTTGACCTTGCCACATGCTGCCAAGCCTCAGCAGCTCTCCATGACAAACTTCCCTCTGAAACTTCATGAAGTCATGCCATGCCTCCATCATCTGCACTGCCCTCAACATTATCTTCCTAGTTCCCACAACAGTTCATTAACTTCTAAGCACTTGAAAAACTTCCCCAGTCCTTTTCCAACATCCTTCCCAATCTTCCCCAAAACAATATGTTCAGAGATGTCACAGCAATACCCCAGTCCTCTTGATAACTTCTGTCTTGTTTTGCTTTCTACTGGTGTGCTAAAACACTATGACCAAAAGCAACTTGTTGAGAAAAGGGTTTATTTCAACGTATGGTTGTAGTCTATTAGGAAGGGAAGTCGGCAGAAAATCATGACAGGAACATGAGGCAGGAACTGAAGCAGAGGCCATGGAGGAACACTGTTGACTGGCTTATGAACCTGCTTTCTTATACAACCCAGGATCACATGCCCTGGGGTGTCACTGCTCACAGTGGGCTGCGCCCTTCCATATCAATCATTAAAAAAAAAAAAAAGACTAGTCCACAGGCCAAGGTGATGGAAGTGTTATCTCAGTTGAGAGTCCTTCTTCCCGGATGACACTAGTTATGTCAAGTTGACGAAAAGATAACCAACATGCAGAACTTATTTCTTTTTTGTTAGAGTCAGTTAAGTTGCGCAGGCAATTCAACTGGCCTGCCCTTAAGGACCTTTAGGGTCCTGACAATGTCCTATGGCAGTACCTGTGTCCTATGACATCATCTGGACCAGGTGCTTCAGATATAATTGGTGGTCTGCCACTCTTTCTTTCTCCCTCTCCCCCTCTCCTCTCTCTCTTGCTGATGGGTTTTTCGGTCTCTCTCCCCTTTCACTGTCGGGACGCTCCCCCTCCGCCCATCTCTGTCCCTCTGTCTCTCTCTGTCTCTGCCCTCATGACTTACTCAGGCCCTAACTCTCTTCTTCTTCCCTTCCCCCTATAAACTCTTCCATGTAAGGTCTGTTCTGTGCATGTGGCATCAATTTTTAAAAAGGACTAACAGC